TCAATCATTTATTGCAAACAGTCTTTGTATTTCCCTTCTCATCTTGTAGTTTATACACGGTCTGGATATATACAGATTAGAGACTTTTGGCAAGCGTGAGTTCCTGGATCGTATCGCGTATGGAGTTTGCGTGTGACGTCATCAATGTGTGTGTATTTCTCATACGTGATACGGCACACGGATACGGCAGCACGTATCGAACAGCTTTCATACTGAAAAGATCCCTGTTGTAACACTTTTGTCTTTTTTACCATCTTTTTTGCTACTTTTAGACACTGAAATGTTGTATCTTCGCGTTTTTATGAAACTATGTACTATCCTGGAACACGAAGGTGAATATTTGATGTGATTTTAACCATGATAACGACAGGAATTTAATCATTATTTTTGGTTGGTTGTTCTCGGATTTTGATTACTTTTCCTGTCTGACTGTTTGCATGCTGGTTGATCTACGTACTAAATTTAGGGAGGTGGGACCTTGCAAATCTGTAAATGATTTTATTCTATGGTAAAGGGGTATAAACTTTCTCAAGTGATTCATTAGTGAAACCAAAAATTGCTGTCGAGTCGAAGTCGAAGATTTTTTAATTACATTCAACATTTTTTTTTTTTTAATAGCCAAGCGACTGTCGAGCGACTTCACTGCCTCCAGGAAATTGTAGGCTAGGCACTTGACTAGTACTGGTGGTAATGATGTAATAGAACTAGGCTCAGCTCAGCGACGCATACGACGCGACGCGAAAATCTGCCAAAACTTTAAAACTACATTGACGCAACGTATTACATATGCGGATACGTAATACGGATGGGAAAATTCTGCTTGCCAAAAGTCTCTAGTATCTTTAAGGTCAACGTTTGTTTTATGTGTTTATACATTTTGCATACTGCACTCTTGACTAGGTTCGAATCCAGACATGGGCTGAGATGAATATCGGTACTGGTTGGAATCGATAGTAGGCGATCGTGGGAGTGTTGTGTAGTCGTACGGATGGGACAAAGCACCGGGGTCCATCCATGCATTTGCTAACGTGTACGGTTGGAATTCTATTAAGAGGTGACGTATATGCCGCTGTCCAGGCCAAATTCTGTTCCGTAGCAGACATGACTATAGAAAATAACCCGATGTTAGTCTCAAAATCACACTGAGGAGACATTTAACTCTATTCCTCTCCTATCCCTTTGTATTTTTAAATGTAGGTTAATTTGTTTTTGCCATGTGGCAAACTCTATTCCGTATTGAAACACGTGTTACAAATATATATCAATAGACAACTAAGCATATTTGACTTAATCTTACATTAGTTATCACATAATATAACTCTAATTCATTATGTTTTCCAGTTCTGTGTCAAGTGTTTAGAAATGAAATGTAGTTTAACGTCCTACTTTTCTGCACCCAATTCCAATTATTGTTAAGGGTTCATTTACGTGACCAGCCCCCACCCCCGTCTTGTACCACTGATATGGGGAAACCGCGCCGGAAAATCACGAGGACCTTCCTCGGCCAACACTGAGAGTGACCTCTCAACTATCATTAATATGTGTCAAGTCCAAACTAAACGTGTAAAGGGTGGCACTTACATGATTGACGAGGAAAGTCTGGCTTATTCGTTTGGTTGAGACAATTGTATGCACGTCCGGGCAATGCAGACGTATTATAATAGAATTGTAAATCAACACTGCTTTATCGTGGAGTTATTGCCAGTATTTTGCAATATTGAAAAATGATCTTATCAGAATAGGTGTTTAGATTGTTTATGAGGATGTGTTGAGATTGTTTTGATTTAAACAATATTATATCACATAAAAATACATTATGTAATCTACTAAAACTGCGTATTGTAGGTCTTTATATTGGCTTCAAATATTATATAAATTATTATTTATACATCACATGACAAGCTTATAATCAACTCTCTAGACCATTGGGTGGCGATGAATTAAAATTTAATATGGAGAATCGAGGTCGAGCCTTGATTAACAAGTAACTTTGCTACGATAAGTAACATTGTTATATGTTACAACTTCAAAACATTTTTATAACGTCGCTCAGAATAAAGTAATTTGAATGCAATTTTCAAAATATTAATTTTGAATTATTCGAACTATTAAAGCAATAACAGTCAGCTCTTTATCTAAATCTTACATAATGTATCTTTAGTGGGGCAATAATATATATGGATACATACTAATATGGATACAATAAAAAGCATTGCTACTTATGTATAATCGCTTCCATATAGACATTGATAATTGAAAGGTTTGACGACTGGATATATTCAATTAATGTATTGTACAGGGTTCGAAAGGTAAAGATCTCTTGAAAAGAACATACGAATCAATGTTTTATGGGGTACATCAAAACTTCCCTTCACAAAGCAACTTGTATTTAATTTGTTTTGATTTTTCTCCACTGTTTCCTGAAGTTTTTAATATTAAGTATTTCTCACTATAAAAAAAATGATATTAAAGAAAAGATTCATATGTAGGCTACAACTTCTTCAATAGTGTATCAGTATTAAAGGGCGTATGGCTTTATTTTTTAGAGACTTAAAATAGACGACAGTGGATCTTAAAGCAGGATTCATGTACTGATTTAAAATTGTGTGAAATAGCTTTATTTAACGTCCGCTTCCACCGAGGTGATATCGCAGACAAGTGATTTAAAACGTTCATTGTGTCTTAAATAATCCATGTTAGGATCCCATATTTTCACGGTAATAGCCCCGTTGGACCGGGATGGCGTCCTTGTTGCGCTGCTGCGGCCGTACGGCGACCAGGTAATGTCCTAAAAAATTACAAACTTGAAGAGGCTGCGTTCTCGCAGCTTTCCAGGTCAGATCGCAGAATCTTGGCGTTTGTTTTGAACATGCGATCATTGGCGACCATGGAGACCACAGCACGATATTTGTGGTTTCTACCACGCTTAGGACGATCTTGACGCGCTGTGGGAAAATTTTCCGTTGCCTTAGCAGAGCAGTAGGACTAATATGGAATTCTACTTCGTGTTTTTGATTTTGAATATGGACAATATTGAGCTTGACGTATAGCTCCTTTAATATGTATTTACTGTGTAATATCATGGGCTTACTGTACTTAAGATAAGCTAAGATAAAAGATAAAATATATTTTATTAACGTGTCACCATCTAGATGTATACAAAAGTTTTAAAATATTAAACATACATTATGCAAGAGCTAAATCTGTCTATTGCAGGTCTTTCTTTAGGCCTGAAATGTTATCTAAATTATTAATTAGACATTAATTAACCTATCCAGACCATAATAAACTCTAGATGGCATCGCTAGCCTACAACCTTTAGTGGATTATAAGCCGATTTAATGCATAACTTTCCTTCACAATTTAACGATTAAATAGATAATACAGACTATGCTGTCTGCGATATCACCTCGGTGGAAGCGGACGTAAAATACAACTAACACTAACTTATGCTGTTTATTGTACTGACTTTAGTAATGATGATCGCGGCCAGGCGGAAATTTCAATCGCTTAGTTCTCGGTTCATAGTGAATCAATTTGAATGAAATTTTCAGCAAATTGCCTTTACATTATCTAGTGTTTAACTATTATAGTGAAAACTGCCAACTCGTTACCGAATCTCCCATAATGTATCTTTAATAAATATAGTTACATAAAAGTAAACAGTAGATGCCAGCCGATGACCACTTATGAGACACGGTTAAAATTTTCACATTAGTATATATATCAATAAATTACATAAATAGAATAAAACAAGAAAAATATATACCATAGTTATCACATCACTATCAAGCTCTTTATCAATTCATACATCTTAAAAATACAAGAGGCAAAAAAAACCGTAAAATCTGTTCATTTGTCATTAAAAATAAAAGCTTATGTTGGTTTGATGCAAGTGGTTTAGATAGCATGTGTATATTACATTAAATTTTTATTTTAGATTATAAAGAGGCGAGATTATTTTGTATATCTACGATTACACATGCAAATGGTATTCTGGACAGTTCATTATATAAATCAAATAGGATTAGAGCTTTGTTACCGTAATATACTTAGTGTAATATATCATCAATATAATATACATATTACATGCGATCCATCATATTCTATCTTGCAAATTATGTAAGCTTTTAGCTTGTTTTGTATCATATCCTTAAACTGGTTACGTTATATTAGGATATTTTATGGATGAATATTGTTTAAACCATATTTATCTAAATAAACAATATAAATACCCATTTGATCTTATCGGAGATTAGATTTTGTCTTTTCAATTATATTTGCCTGTTAGTGCCTATTCAACAATTCCGTGACTACATAATAATTATATTATCGAAGGTAGGTGGAGTGGGGGTCATTGGGTCGAGTGGTCTAACGCTGCGCTTTAGAACATAAGGTCTCTCATTGAGTCAAGTGGCGTGATTTTGATCCCAATTTTGTACTTGAAAAGGAGTAGGCTCACCTGACCTGCACAGCCTCGTCGATTTTCTCCAGGTCCTCCGGTTTATTACTCCGAGAGCTAAAGACCCATAGTAGCAGGTGCATGATTGAAATAAATTTGCTCTCTCCCACCCCACCTCAAAGTAATATTACAAATTATGATGGCTGTGGGACAGTACAAATAAACAAAGTAGGATATCCTTTCACGTGTTTGATTTATTGCACTTAATATGATATAACAGCGATATGCCTCAGTTAATATAAATAACAATCATATTGCTATGTATACTATACAAATATATACAGATTATAAGTAAACAATAATAGGTAATTGCTTTTCAAACAGGTGATGGATGCTTGTCATAGATCAAACAACACGCAGTGATATAGCGGCCATTGGTGGTCAATCAGGCATCAAGGATAAAACAAAGGTCCCGTTGTTTAACTGTCACGTTTAAATAGGAAGACTGTTTGCCTTCGCGCGAGTCTTTTTCTCGCGTTTGTATGTTTGTTTTACGTCAGCTACACGGTCAACCATAATTCAAAGCTTGGAGAAGATATATATCACCGAAGCGCATGCGTCACGGGCCGCTATACACAAGCAGACGTGTTCAAATGCCGTGTATAATATGTCAGATGTCATTTACCTTGCTAGACATAACTAACTTGTTTCAGTGTTTCCGTGGACACTATTAATGGTCAGATTGTAATTAGACACTGCAAAATGGCCACTCAATGTCTTTTGGATAATATGGAGACCGGGGATCTGCCGGATGATGCTCCTGCAGTAAGTATAGGCTTACACATTTCAAGTTTTCTTTAATAATACGTATATATCATATTACCTCTATGTACAGTACGTCTTTATATTATTTACGATACCGCATGCTATTGCATTGAGCCGAAGATTATGCTTATAATATTATAAAGTGAATATTAAAACGCATACGTATTTAAATAGCGTGACCGGGCGTTGAACTGGCCAGGTTTATTGTGATGATTCTGCTCTAATAAATATATAGGGGCTTATAGAACTTGTGATATTTGACAAAACAAGTTATATAATATATATGTTATATACATCGTAGATAAAGTGGAGCTATCAATTACCTATAATTACACCAGTTGTTGAAACATAAAAATCACTTTAGTCAAAACAAATTCAACAGGCTCCTACCAAATGTGATTTTGATTTCTCATCAATAGCCCAAAACATATATAGCGCCACTGTCTTGGTGTGTCAAAAAGGTAAATGATATAAATGAAATGAACTGGGGTGTAACGCCTTCTTGGACTGCATCGGCTGATCTAATGAAGGTGGGTGTGCTATGGGGGAAATTCTTCCCGGACTACTCTCATTCGAATTCCAAATATCAAAGTTATTTTACGTGCACGCCATTGTGTACACGGGGGCAAGCGTCTTACCCACTGAGCCATCGCCGCACCCGATTCATAATGATTCGTTAGCAAACTGTGTAAAGCCGCTCACCACCCTCTCGCCATCAACTGGTCGCAAACGTGAGGTTGGGGAGGTGTGTGTGGGGGGGGGGGGGGGGCGAAATACGTAGTGGAATGGTTTCAGAAAGTTTAAGAGTATGTAATATTCTACACTTTGAACAACGCCAAAGTAGGGATATTAATTATTTATATTTTGTAATAATTCAATAATTTATTCATAATCTTTATAAATATAAATAATCACGGTGACCTTAAATTTAAGGTGTATTATATGTTTCTGCGCTTGAACGTTTCATAGACATGTCACTATGTAATGGATAAAGCACGAGTCCGAGGTTATGCTGGCAAAAGAACACTGAAAAAACAGTGACCGATAGATCGAGTTTTGTTTATCGAGGGTGTCTTTCTGATCGCCAGTTGTTCCGGGCATAGAAAAACCTGGAAAGATCAAAGAGATTTACCGTTATAGGTTTATTAGTAAATTGAAACACAGTCGATTCGGTTAGACTTTAGCTCAAAGTGTATTTTAGGTAAACCCTGGTTTATGTAGGGCATTATGCAGTTTATAGAAATTTTTTATACAATCTTTTAATATTCTGTTACATTTCAAACATATTCAAACTTTAGAAAATATACACATGTGCAAATTGTGTATTAGTCTATATCTACATATCTCTTATATATATTTCAGTTTAAAGGATATATAGTTGTAAATATATATATATATATATATATATATATATATATATATATATATATATATTTATATATATAGTCATATATAGTAGTAGACGAGTTTATAAACGGCTTAGCAAGGACAGTTTCTAGTCGTTCGATTGATAAAAAAAACGAGGTCTCGGTTACACGTAGACGTGCACGTTAAAGATCCCTTGGCAGTTGGAATTCGATAAAAGAGTTGGCGATAGTGACACTATCCGGGCATAATTTCACACATAACACACTGCATGGCGTAGGCTCGCCTTCATTAGCACACAGCCGGTGCAGAACAACTGGGCGATATAGGCCACATTTCATTTCAGATTTATAAAATTGCACAGTAATAAAATTGCACAGACGAGTTGACACGTGAAGCCGCTAAGCATATACAATTCACAATATTAATTATAACGCTAACGAGGCAGATAATCTATTAATGATATCAAATAACGTGACAGGTTCATTACATCTGCTTATCGGTCGCCATCATAAGGAAAGATGTTGGGGCTCCAATACATTTATTTACCGATAATTGGACATTAGACATCCCTAGGCAAAAGATAGTTCAACTAAGCGGGATATATACCAATTTATTAAATTCCCTAGGCAATAGAAAATTGAAAGACTCGTTTATAATGATACTAGCTGGGAAAAACATGGTCTCCTGGTCAAATGATAGGCATTTATTTTCGGATTCTAGAGTAAAATACAAACAGTTTCATTAGCACACCGGTACATATGACGTACATTCGTTGTATAACGGTATCCTGATATAGTTTGCTATGTATCCATTTGTTTTACCTATATCATTATACAGGTGCTATAAACATCACCCTCAGTTACCCAGTGTACTCATTCCGTTCTGTAGTGGAGTAGAACGAAATGAGTACACTGGGTAACCGAGGATGTATTAACATTAATGGTTTCACAACATTAATGAATATAGATTAGAAATGTTTTATAATCACATATATTGTAAATACATTTTTATCATCTCTATGAAATTAATTTTACGAATTTAAATTCCGATAACGACAGTATAAGTAACATTAAATTAAAGATGGGTTCCCACAAAAGTATTTATCGGGTGGTTATTTCCAATAAAAGTATGACAATTTTGGTATATATGGAAAGTAGAGATATCCAATCTTACTAGAAAAATACTGGATTCCCCGAAAAACACTCATGGAGCGTATACAGGACAAAAATGTAAGGGTTCCCCTAATCAACAGCCCGACGATTAAGAATTTCTGCACGCGTGATGTCAAAGGTCACACGCGAACATTGAGCGCTTGATGTACAAGTTGATAAACGCTATGAAGAGTAAGACGTACAACACTTTCTGAGATAAAAATGACGGAAAAAGACGCGGGTAGTGGATAATCCAAGAATTTAATTAGGATTCGATATTTGTAATAAATAGTAAGCGATTAAAGACAACATCGTCTTATGTATGCAATGAATTCTCCTCTGACTTCCAAGACGTGACGTAAACAAGACCTGGTTTGATCGAATTTTAATAGCAGGGCATTCCTTCGAAATTACAATGTTTGAGAAGGATTTGAAGCATAATTATGACAAATTAATTAGTTTGAATATGTTTTTAGTCCATATATACCATTAAATCACCCAGTTTGTACCCGGGAACCCATCTTTAATAAAGAATGTCGAATGTAAAAACTGGATTTACAAATTCTCAAAAGTTCACTATTTCATCTTTTTTTTAAACGCTTCCCCTTTGTTATTTATAAACCTTTGTATTCATGGTCTTGTTCGTCTTCCAGTCTGTCTTTCCATTTTGTGGAACTGGGTAAGGGGGTTGCATGGCCGAATGGTTTCCACGTGCGCGCTGTATCATAAGGCCTGTCATTGAGTCAACTGGCGTGGTTTCGAATCCCCGGTTGTACCTGACAAGGAGTAGGGTCGCCTGTCCAACCTCGTGGCCTACGCGCAAGCGAATTATTGAAATAAAAAATTAAAACCATATGTTGGCCCCGAAATGACCTAGTTTGTGTCGAGTGGACATTAAACCCCACCTCTCTCTCTCTCTCTCTCTCTCTCTCTCTCTCTCTGTGGTTTCGTGCCATTGGTGCTGGACGGATGACTTGTCTAGCCATCCGAATGGTACAAATATCCGAAGTCACTTGTACACGTCGGTGTGCAAATAAAAGACCCCTTTGGGGTACGAAATACGAGTAGCCGTAGCGCGGCTGTCTGGGCAATTGATTCCTGGTAGCACAATGCATGAATGACGTATGCCCATCTTCGGTAACCTAGTAGGTACAGAAAAGGAATAGTTAAACACCATTCATTTCTGTATTCTTTACCGAGAACCCGATTTGTCATCTTGAAATTTAGCTTACCCAACATGTATATGGATTTCCAATGTGTGTTCACGGACATTTCATCGTCGATGTGTGTTCACGGTCATTTCGTCGTTGATGTGTGTTCACGGAAATTTCATCGTCGACGTGTGGTCATCGACATTTCATCGTCGAATACCTATCAGCTGTACCTTGCCTATAAATAAATATTCTGGTATGGAATGTCGACATTTGCATATTCTGTCGCACGATGGATATTTAAGACTGTCTACAAACTTAGAAAATGCAAATTGACTCTTATATCAATGAGGTGCACTTGTCGTTGTGGTGCACTTGTCATTCATTTGTGTTATCTTAACGCGTTTTTCTTGTTTGAAGAGAGAGAAAACGAGTTGTTTGGGTTTATAAATACGACATACTTATCGTAATGTATTTACTTGCATTTACAAAATATACAGATTCTATCCCAACACGAGTGAGTCACTGCATGTTATACGATGAGAGAGAGAGAATGGGGTTTAACGTCCACTCGACACATTTCGGGACTAACATATGGTTCAATTTTATTTCAATAATTCGGAAGGAAATCGGAGGACCCGGAGAAAAGCCACGAGGTTGAACAGGCGACCCTACTCCTTGTCACGGTGTTACGGTGTGTGTAAAAAAAGAAACATGTTATTGTTTATTTCTCATCATTATCTGACCGAAAAACTTCGTCCTCGAGATTTTCCGGTGTGGTTTCTCCTTGTCAGTGGTGCATGACGGGGATCCTGGCAAGGAACAATTATAGAGTTTTCATGTACACGTTGGCGTGTATGTAATATAACTATTGACAGTTGGAATTCGAGGAAGAGCAAGCGGAAACGCCAGTATCCGGGTAAAATTGCCCCCATACCACACTGCCTGACGTATGCCAGTCTTCATTAGTTCCCCCACTGATAAAGACCCCTACGCGCAAGCTAATTATTGAAATAATATTGAACCATATGTTAGTCCCGAAATGACCTAGTTGTGTCGAGTGTACGATAAACCCCCATTTCCCTCTCTCTCTCTTTCGATTCATTTACGCTGATGGTTCGAAAGTTGCTAACCATCAATCTAGGCTTGTGATAAAGTCAGACATTTTGGATTACAAAGTGCAAAGAAAGTATATGTCTGATTGTTGTACATAATATGTCGGAGTTGTCTGTAAAATGATTTATTAGTAATGTCCAAGTAACCTTAGGCGACAACTAATCCAACTTTTGTCAACCAGATTCTATTTTTATATGACCTATGGCAATGGGCC